ATATATCGATTTAAATAAATTAACGCTTTATAATACAGAAAAATGATTGATTATATATATCACTAAATTCTTAAATACATTAATAAAGTCGACTTGTTATTTTTCTTTTCATATTTTCACAATAAACATATTTTTTAGTATAAAAAATTCTAATTATTAAATATACACTAAATAATATTAGACAATAGTCATTCCAGGTCCAGTGTCGAGATGGTGGTAAATAATTTATAAAAAAAATTTTTTTGAAGGATTTTAGAAAAATAAGATTTTTTTTATAATTAGACATCATCTTGTTAAACGTTTTTTTTAAAAGCGCCAACTTAAAAGATAAACATTTTACGTACGGTATTTTTCTTTCGATAATTTGTTTTATTGTATAGTTGTTCATAGTAGAATCGATAAACAAATTCATCAAAATCATGACCATATATTTATTTTTAACAGAGTTAACACTTCTTTTTAAAAGTAGTTAGCTCCCGCTCCTACCTTCATAAAAGGAGCTAGCTCTCGCTCCCGCTACTAAATTTTTAAAAGGAGCTAGCTCCCGTTTCAAGCACTCCATTCCACTCCTTTGGGGAATAAAATCATATTTTTTTTATCTAATATGTTTTATTTATATTAAATGATATAGAAAAATATTTATAATCTTTTATTAGCTTTTAAAAGTAATAAATTTTCTAAATTTGAATCTGACATCCACGCCTCTCCTAAAACCTTAGCAATACTAAACAGGCGCTCAATAAGAGCACTAGAGGGTAGTGGGGTATTGTATTTTATAAAAATATTATTTAATTCAGGAAATTTATCAAAAATAGTAATTTTGACATCATTATATAAAAAATATTTGTCCAATATATTTTCTTCCTGATGATCAATTTCATGGAATCCAAAAAAATCTTCCAAATCATTGCAGTGTTCCTTTGAACTAGTAGCTATTTTTGCATCAGGAATTTGTTCTCTTAAAATATTAATTAATTTGTATTTTAGTTCCATATTTATGCATTTTTTATCCATTCCCAATTTAATTTGAATGCAGGATTAATAGCCACAGATATTTTCATCATAAACATTTGAAAATCTGCAATAAAGTTATTTAAATAGATAATTTATTTTTTATTTCGATTTCTTCTTCTATGATGTCAAGATCCATATTATCAAAAACTATTTTTTATCATATATCTATAAAATGAATATTATACAAGATTTCCAAGAAATTTTTAATATAAAAAAAAGAAAAACTTGATGTTTAATATTTTATCTAATTAGATGAAAACCCAATATAACTCGGCTCACCATTTAATATTGTATAAATTTAAATAAAATAAAATTTCATTTTTATTGAATTTTAAATAGCAAATAGATTTATTAATATTTAAAAAATAATTTGATTTATACATTAAATTTAAAAGAGCGTTGGAGCGGCACTCCTCCACTCCAGCCCTAAAAGGAGCTAACTCCCGTTCCTTATTTTTAAAAGGGGGCTTTTCAGATGTTTTGAGGAGCGCCGCTCTTTGACAACTCTGAATTGTAAAATATGCAGAGTCATACAAACTATAAAATAATTTATTTGTCGCTATAAAAATAAGTGTTTATCAATACGGAACCTTAGAAATAAAAAAATTATTGGTCTTTCCATTAAGTCCAAAACTTTTATCATTGCATCTTCAACTCTTCTCACCGAAACACCCACTTTTTAACTTTATCAAAGAATAAGATCGACTTCCTACAAATGTTATCATTAAAACTTAGTGAAATCCTTTTTTTCTGGTTATAGGACCATTTAAATACTTAAATATCTTTGTTAAATCATATAACGGAGCTGCTCCTGCAAACAACCCGATAAACAAATGATTACATTCCCATAGAAGTCTACCCCTTGCGCGAATATTCTTTATAATACTTATTTAACAGGGTAATTCTTCTGTCCTCTATACTATCTAAATAAATGAGCCTTTATTACTCCATAACCTTTTTCCTATTTTCCCTAGCCATCTCATTTTTATGCAAAACAATACCTCCAGTAACCATTTATTATCAACATCCTTCGACCTTTCACCAATTAAGATTGAAAATTTCACAGCACCTTTTAAATAGCTTATTTTGTTTATACCCTGCAAAGTAATTTATATAGCATTCATTTATTCACCATAGTTCTGAAATCAGCGTACAACAAGCGGGGTTGCCCAATAACTGTTATCGCTATATATTTTCGGCTATAAATAAATATCATAGCAGTCCTTAAAACAAAAGCAAATTACTGATCATTTGTCATAATCAATCAGGTAAAAAAGATAAATAAATATAACATTAATAATTTTTAGACCACTGGCCGGGTCTATATTTTTAATAATATTGCCGCCGGGCTTATTCCACTAGTATATCATTGAAACTACTTTGAAATTAATTCAATGAATTCCGAAAGTACCTTACTGATACTGATATATTTTTATCTTATCTTCATAGTTACAATATTTATTATTTTATAATATCCCACCAAATTAATTATAGTATATACTTGATAAGATAATAAAATAAAATTATAGAAATAAATTTTTTTAGACACTTAACATTATGTTTATCTTTATGTTATGTTCAATAAAAAAAATTGAGGTTCTTCTTTGAATTTGGTCAAAAATATAGTTTATATTATGAATTTATTAAACATAAAAATTTGTTGGATATATTTTTCTATGAATAATTCATGTCTTTTAAATATAAATTATTATATAATATTGGGAAACTACATTTATATTTATCTGTTATGTATATAAGATACATAAAATTTTTTGGTTCCCAAGCAACATCCTATTTTGTATAATTTACCTTAATTTAATAAAAACTTGTTTATTGAACATAAATTATAGTCTTTGTAGAGTTTAAAATTAGACAAGTTTTACCATATTAAACAATCTTTTTTTCGATTAATTATATACCAAGGAATATTTATATTATAATATTGTGGAATTTTAGTAAAATATATATTATAATATAAAATAAATAAAACCTTAATAAAAAAATATAATATCTAAATTGTATTCACTATTAGGCTTTATAAAAAAATAAAATTATTATTGAACATATATAGAGCTTAGAACCGACTATCTGATTGAAAACTGATGATTTTAGTTTAATATATGATAAATGAATATTATATTTGTATTAGTCACATAAATTTAGTTAATATACCTTTTTTTAATAAAAATATTTTTTAGTTTTAATTAAACTATATCTCAAAACAATAGATTTCATATTTTATTGTTCGTATGTTTTTATTGTTTTATCACATTTCACATCAAATACATATATAATATATACCGAATTATATTTTGATATATCTTCTTTTTTTAAACTGTTAAAATCGATTTGTTTTAATCGGAATGTCATTATTTTTTTAGTTCTTTTTTTTGAAACATGCTATTATATTTAATATCATTAAAAATACTTTTCAGTCGCATAACATCAAATTTCTATATTTTTATTTGTATTTATTAAACGTTTTTTTTTATTTAGATATAAGGCTTAATAAACCTTATTTATTTGTGATATCGCAAAAATTGAATATTTATTGGTGATCAAAATGTTAATTAATATTCGATTCATTTTCATTTGAATTATATTTCTATTATACCAATAAAAATAGACCTTTGATAAAAACCTTAATCCTGTCTCTTCACATGTTTTATAATGAGAAAATTTCATTTTTTATAATTATATATAAATATATAATGAAATTCATAAGTCCGAATCGCGATCTATAAAAATTTCGGGCGGGCAGGTATAAAATCGATATAAAAAAAAATACAGGCCGGGCTTGGGCCGAAAAAAATTGAATATGCAGAGCTCTAATGTATATTACACTCAATTTGCGTGCCAGATAAATTTTAAATGATTCAAAAGTTCATGATCAAATTATCTTAAATTTATAGGATAGGTATTTTATACATACTGGATTGACAAAATCAGATTATTAACATGTATAAAATAACGCTTTAAACAAATCATTTTGCTATTTACCAACTTTAAATCATTTATTTAACGCGTTTTTTAAATTTTAATGATTTAATTTTTCCAAAAATCTATTCCAGAATGTGGAGAAAATGACCTTTTCTATAAATTTCAGACAATTTTGAAACATATCACACGACTTTCCGAAAATTTGCAAGATGCTAAATGAATTTCAAAAATGCTGATATTTTGGAAGTATTATATTCTATAATAATAATTCAATTTTCTCAACGATTAACTTTTTTAATGTTGACCCATTCTTGTTTGATCGTAAAACATGAATAGCCACAAAATTCCTTTTTTAAGATAATTAATTGAATATTTTAAAGCCCTACACAAACTGATCCGACCGATCTTGGGTCGGTCAGCCTTTTTAATTATTTTGTTTTCCTAATGTTTTTTTTAAACATTATTGTCAAAAATAACAACATTATTTATATCCTTCAGCGCTTATTTCCGATTTTATTGAAACCTACTATTTCAATAGTTCAATAAAATCTTTAGATCAGTTTAAAATTTTGGATCAAACTGGGATCTTAGAAAAAATTATCGGATCGGAAGGACAAAAAAAGGTTTTCGGATCTAGTTGGAAAAATGGGTTCGATGCAGAGATCTAGAATATTTACGAGTGTTGATTATTGAAAGAAGAGTAGTACTGAAAATTATAAATTAATCAAAGATTTTGTTTCTCACATATAATTATCCTTAACTATTCCGTCAAAAGGGGAAATAAGTAATTCAGAAAAATGTATTAGCCAGTATATGATTCTGCGAATTTATCTAATGTTAAAAAAAAGATCGCATTTAACGTGTCTACACTGTTTTTTTAACTATAAAATTTTAATATCTGATTTTATATTCAACTATAATAAACTAATCAAAATTTCCACTCAAATTAATAAACTAATCAAAATTTCCACTCAAATTAATAACTTTTAATTAAAACCTTCACAACTTCTTTTCATAAACATGTATAAAAATATTCATATTTACAGCTCGACACAGAACTAGTCAGGGCTAAACTAGCTGCCGATTCATCTTCCGAAGAAGATGAAATCTCTTACATGTACGGAAATGAATCTTTCATTCCAACAAATCTTTACAATCACAATGCAATAATGAAGGTTAGCTCATCTTACGATTGTACTTGCCCGGTGTGGGCCACTAAATTAAGACACCACGAACAGAGGCACCTGCGCAATAAACTCAGGGCTTCTTTGCCTTTTAATAAACCCGCCCCTTCCCTAAACACTTATAAAATTGGGCAAAATTATTCTGGCATTGGCCTTTTGAATAGTTACGATGGCAGTTTCAAAAATAATGTTACAAAACTTGTTAACGATGAAACAGATTATGGTAAAGAATGTGGCTCACCATCTTTCAACCTCCAGATATGTTTCATGAACGATCCCAAGAAAAAAAATGACAACGTATTGGACAATATTACCAAATCTTCCTTAATCTCTACAAATACTTCGCCACAAATCAAAATGGAATGTAAATATCTCTCGCTCACTAATATATCTAATTTAAATGTCAATTTAACTGGCCGTAGTCGTGTAAATGCATTTTCTTCCCTTTCGAACATTTTCGCACTTAAATCTATACCTTCCTATCGGACAACCAATCATGAATCGAAGCTTACTTCTCCTAGCAATGGATGTTTGGCCGTTCTTCCGCAACGACTCGATTTAATTAGAAAGGATTCTACAAGAGATAAAAAGAAACAAACCCGCGCCAAAAAGCGAAATGTTCCCTTATTAAGAAATTATCATTACGATGCGGAAGATGAAACAAAAACTCATAGTGTTACCTCCCATAGCACGAGATCTTCCACTATAAAAAACGACCGTTTATTTCGCTGTAGACAACCGGTGCCAATATATCCTATGCTTCATCACAGTTTTGATTCTTATCTTGAAGTAAAGCCCCAACAAGAAAAAATAGAGGATTATTATTATGATGATGTATTATACCTTTCTGAGGACATAGAAAACGGAAACTATGAGAAAAATAACGGTGCTTACAGAATAGATGACAAACAGCGAATTCATAAAGTTTGCCCTAAAATCAGTGCAGACGAAATCAACGACTTACCGCTTTTAGTTGAAAAACAGCTCGAATTACAAAAAGGCAAGGCTAGATTAGCCCTTTCTCAGGCCCCAGCAATGGCAAAAATGCAATTGGAAGTCGAAAAGGAACTTAGCAAATTTTCCAATTTCAAAACCAAAAAATCTCCCAAAAGAAGAGCCTCTATTCATGCTTCCAGATTCGAAAATTCGAATCTCAAGATTTGTTCCTTCGCGGAAATAACTGCTTTCAAAATCAAAACTAAATTATTTACTCCTAAACAACCTAACAAAATGGGCGATAACGTTAAATCAATTATAAAGTCCTCCATCTATCAAAATCACATGAACAGTCAAAAACCGTTGAAATCAGTTCAATCGAACAAAAAATACGAACTCTTTTATCAAATCTTAGAAAAAGTATTATTTATTTTGCCTGTACAAAATTTTCTTAAATTTCATCCTTTTGTTATGTTTACAAGAATGACTCAGAATTATAACATTAGAATTCATTTAATATCGAATAAAATTTTATTAAATTTTTTTAGAAGAAAATTCAAAACCAATAATCTATTTATGCTGTTGAAAATAAATTGAATTTTATTATAGCTATCAAAACTGTACGGAATAAAATTGGATAGAAACAGTAATTGGTCATCCTTGTTTTCTCTCAAAATTCTGTGCAGCATGCCAACCGCTCAATTGCAAACATTGACCAATGCTCTTCTAAATCAAATTGAAGGTATATTAATATATTTTTTAGCTGTAATCATTGTATTTCTTCGGCCGTACATTTCTTACTTCTCTTATAATTTTACCGTTCTCCTTTAAAATAAGTAAATCGTTAATTTTTCCAGACCGAAGTGGACATGATAGAATTAGTAGGATGCCAGATTCTGATTCATTGTAATTTTTTATTCGATGATAAGAACTCAGAACCGTCTTTAATCCTGTAAATTGCCTGAGAAACTTATTGAAAATTTTATGGACAATATATTTATTGGAATGCGTCGAAAATTTAAAATGCAAAATGAAGTGAGGGGGGGGGCTCATTAGACTGTAGTGTGGTTATAATATTTTTTTTATTATACTTCCTTTTTTAGTTATGAATGAAGATCTAATGGAACTTCTTATGGAGCGAGACGATTTGCATATGGAACAAGATTCAATTTTAGTGGACATCGAAGATATAACTGGGTATATTAATTTTTTATAAAATTTTCTCCTCATATTTGTATTTTAAATTTAAAAAAATGTTTTTATAAAGCCACTTTCTAAACGAGACATTTTTCCCAAAAGGATTTCCTAGGCATGTTCCGGCAACTTTTTAGACTCCCAACTAACCATACGATAATAATTTGCCTACTCAATTTTTTTGCATAATATGAAACAGACATTATTTAATCGTTGATAAACATCAAATTTTTAAACGATTAAATATTCTCTGATATTAGAAAAATTATTCTCATGTTTGTAATGTTAAAAAAAAAATCTGGAAAAATTGTTTGGAAATGGCCTTAGCTTATTTTCTTTCTTTCAGACCTGCAGGACCGGGTAAGGTTCATGCATTATTTGAATCTCATATTTTAGATTTCCCTTTGAAGGCCGGACAACTTGCCACGATTTTTTTAAGGCTTAGAATTAGTTAAAATGATTATTTCTTTCATAAAAAAGATTTTCAATAATTATATTATTCGTAATAATTCTTTTTTTTAAACTAATTTTTTTCAGATTTAGTATGCAAGAAAAAAAAATCCTACATTTTATTGCATAATTCATAATAGTACATAGGATATAATTATGGTAAAAATTTACGAAATTTAAATTTATTGTTCTGCAAAATTTTTTTTATTTATTCATATTCGATTTTAATGATTTAATTGTATTCGTAAATTTCGACGGATATCGAATAATTTTCGATTAGCCTAAAACCAAAAATTTAATAAATTAAAAATTTTACAAGCTAGCACAGGGCTGTAAAATGAAATTTTTTAAAAAATTTGTCTATCAAAACTTATGATTCATATTTTTTACTAAATAGAAGAGTAAAAGACAAAGCAAAATATTATCAACAAGCTATAGATTTGCAAAAAAATCGTCACATGAATTGAACAATACTTTCGTTTAAAAAATGATTATACTTCTCAATTTTTGTTCACAATAAAACATTTGAATAGGTGCGATAGAGCCTTAACCATCAAAACAGATTATTTTAATATGTCAAAAATTTAAATTGAATATATTACAATAGATTAGTAAATATGGAATTCCTGAAATATTTTTTTTATATTAAAATATGAAATTTGTTACAATTTACAAGTGAGCTATATTTAAAAAAATAATAAATACAATTAAAATTTTATGAGTCTTTTTAAAGATACATTTGATCTTTGAAGATCAAAAAAATTTTGAGTAAAATAAAAAATGTATAATATTCCATCATTTTTCCTCGATTTTTTTTAAAAATTTTCCCATATGAGAAAGAGAAAATCATTAAATGATTATTCTACAAAAAATATTTTTTATTTTGCTCAAAAATCTTCTTTAAGCATCCTCAAATCTTTTTTTACAAAAAAATCTTCACATTTTGATCTTCATTAGACAAAATTTTGACTTATATTGTAACTAAGTTCGTCCTAGCCGGGCCGCTGGGGAAAATGATGGCTTTCGGTCGGATAATGATGTGGAAAGGGGAAATATGTTTGCAATTAACATTAATAGGTAATGTTTATAAATTGGTTTATTTTTAACAGTATAGAAAATCTAGCGACTCGCCGCTGGCTGTTTTTAGGCAACATTAATGGGAACAATTTATATGCTGTTTTCTAGTGTGATAAATTAGTTGGTTACACGACCACGATCCTGGTTTTTGGTCGAAAAAATGAACCAAACCCAAAGTAACCAAATCCATCTACCCGAGCACCAACCATAGGTATATTATTTTATTGTGAACTGAATGTTAATATTTTGCTCAATTACATTTTTATGCATAGAGGACGAATATTTTAATCAGAGTTGTTAACGTTCCTTTTTAAAAGTAGCTAGCTCCCGCTCCTACCTTTTTAAAAGGAGCTAGCTCCCGCTTCAAGTAATGGAGTGCCACTCCTTTTTTATAAGGTACACGAAACAAAATCATATTTTTTTCAAAAAATATTATTTATATTAAATGATCTATCAAAATTTTTATAATCTTTTATTAGCCTTTAAAAAGTAATAAATTTTCTAAATTAGAATCTAAAAAACATCCACGCCTCTCCCCTAAGACGTGTTTTGCAATACTAAATAAGCGCATATTTTTTAATTCAGGTATAAATAAGGAGGTTGAACAAGTAATGAGAAAATTAAAATATATTTAAAAAAGCATCATATTTAACAACCCAAGCTCAACTATGATGAATTGCCCACAGTTATCATTTCGTATTTATAAGAAAGATAATTTACTTTTAGATGCTTTTTTAGATTGGAGCTGCTCACTTTTGAAAATGAAATACTTTTACACACAAAAGGCATTTTGCCCTTAAATTTGTTTGATCATTTGGATCAACATCTTTTAGTAGTTTAAAATATTTTTTGCATGATGGAAATTCGATTTCTTCTTCTATGATCTCTAAATCGATAATATCGAAAACTATTCTTTATTACATATTTATAAAATGAATATTATCAAAAAAATTTCAGTATAAAAATGAAAAACTTGATGTATAATATTTAAAATGATTAGAAGAAAACCCAATATAAAACTCGGCTCAACATTTTATACTGGATAAATTTAAATAAAATTTCATTTATTTAAAGGAGCGGTGGAGCGGCGCTCCTCCACTCCAGCCCTAAAAGGAGCTAGCTCCCGCTCCTAATTTTTAAAAAGGAGGGCGCTCCAGGTGTTTTTGAAAAAATATAGCGGCGCCGCTCCAAGTGCCGCTCCTTAACAACTCTGATTTCAATATTAACATAGAAATATTCATATTTATTATTTGATTCCTTTTTTAAAAATAGGTCCTTTCATCGTCCCGAGCACCGACCATGAATGTTAATATTTCGCTCCTCAATTATATTTTTATATACTATATATAAAAATATGATTGCGCAAAATATTTACAATAAACTAATATAATAGGTTTGTTTGGAGTAAGTGAACCAGTTTATGTTCGGGTCGATGAAAGGAACAATCTTTGATTTTTAATATTGAAATATTCGTCCTCTATGCAAAATACAATTAGGCAAAATATTCACATTCAGTCACAATAAAATAATATAAGTTGGTGCTCGGGTCTATGATTTGGTCGGTACTCTCAAAAAATTTTAAAATTAAAATTTTTGACATTTGTCACTTATCTAGGGTATATATTCCCTTAAATTTTATTTAAACATGCCAATTTGCGTCAAAAAACTTTATAAATAACGATTATGACAATTGTCACTTATCCAGGGTATATATTAATTGAAGTTTTATTTAAATATGTTTTCAAATAATTATTTCCAATTTGCGTCAAAAAACTTTAAAAATAACGTTTATGACAATTGTCACTTATCCAGGGTACATATTAACTGAAGTTTTATTTAAATATGTTTTCAACATTAATTATTTCCAATTTGCGACAAAAAAAACAATAAACTTTAAAATTAATGATTATGAGTATGACAATTGTCACTTATCAAGGGTACATCTTCCCTGAAATTTTATTTAAACATTGCTTAATAAATTATTTAGAAATCTTAAAAAATAATTTCAGAAAAACTATAAAATATTTTATTCACCTAAAAGATTGTTTATTTATATTAAAATTCACAAAAGAATATCTCAAAAAAGATTATTTAAAATTCTTATCAAATCAAAATATATTCTAAAATCTTTTTGAACTTCAAAAAATATTTTTTGCTTAAAATTTTGGGGGGTGAAAATCAAAATGATATTACAATTTAGCAGTATACATATTTTTTTATTAGAAAACATCAAACCATTTTCATAATATAATAATAATATTATATATATAAAAATATTAAATTATATCATGTTTTTTTTTATTGATAAATATTGATGTGATAATAATAAAATATTCAAATTTATATAAAATAATTCAGGTCGATTGATTTGGTCGACCAATTTGGTTGCTTTGGTTTTGGTTCATTTTTTCGACCAAAAACCCAACCAAAAATCATGCTAATCTGACCCAACTAAGCAATTTTACCACACTACTGTTTTCTATTTAAACGTTATGCCTTTTTATTTAATTAATATTTGATAAGTTTTGTTTATTTAACTTTTAAATGATGACTCAATCAGCTTCATATATCTCAGAGCCAAGATATATTTGACAAGGCTAAAACTTGATTCATAGACCACAGACAGTTTACCCAGTATAAATGAATTGTTATTTAATTAATAACTGATTTGTAACGATTGTATTTAAAATTGTGAACTTCAGGCTCAATTGGTTAGGCAAAACAAGACTGCATTATCTTTTAAAATTGATAATATTGCATCTTAGCTGATAAAAATTTGAAAATTACAAAAAATATATTGTTTAATTTTAATTTTTTATAACTTATATATATTTTATTATCGTATATATTTATTTTGTTATTTAGTAAAGTATAATGTATAAAAATTCGTTGAATTAATCACATTAAAAATTTGATGCCTTTAAAAAAAGTTCATAAAATATCATTTTGATAAGTAATTCATATTTATGATGAAAATATATTACAAGTTTTTGATAATATTAAAATTAAGTTATATAGTGTATAGGTTTTATTTTAAAAAAATTTGACTTTAAATATAGAATTTTAAAATTTTTAATAAAACATAACATTTTTAAATTTAAAACATAACATTTTTTAATTTAATGCATAGCAATTATTAATTTAAAATATAGTATAGCAAAATGATCAACATATAATTTAAATCATGCCAGATGATAATGCGCCAGAAGAGGAACGAGGTATGTAATAACCGTGTTAATAGGAGTTATACGAGACTTCCATAAAAAAACCTGAGAATGTACCTGTTAGGGCTTTACATTAATGTTATAATATCAGAGCATTTTTTAATTGTCAATTTTCTAAATTATTTAAGTAAATTACTAAAATTTTGGGCCATTTTAAATGCTAAGAAATTTTAAATATTTAAGTCGTTTTACTTATCATTAAAATGTCTGAACCCATAAAATAAAATTGCTGCATTTCTCTAATATTAGTTTGATTTTGATAAAAAGCATTATAAATAATGGAGAAAATTTGTGGGAAACACATGGTGTAATAGTAGGGAATCCATTCTATGATGTATTTGACTAAAATAATTACCACCGAACATCACTAACTTTCTGTTCAATTTTACTCCCATCTTGCGGTGAAAGTTCTACAGTAATCCCAAACGAAAGGTACACTTCCAAGGGATAAATATCATCCCATCAAGGCTGCTGAGCTAAAAGTTATTATACCTCTATATATATATTAAATCATATTTACAAAGAGAGGAACCAATTTATTCTGATATTATAAATTAACGAAAGAGTGCCTAAAATATCTACCTCCTGAAAGGGTAGTTCTGGGTTCTAAAAATAAACAGTGAGAGTTACGATGTCATAGTCTAATCGAGGGCTGATAACAATTTAAATTCTTTGTTAGTAAATAGACCTTCAAAGATGGTATTTTTTTAGCCGTTCATAAGCTAGATTGGTTGAGGTTGGATAAGATTAACAGCGTTTGATTTATAGATGGAATTGTCCATTTCATGCTCGTTGGGGAAGAGAAAGGATTTTTAAGATGGAGGAAAGGAGGGGATGACGACATTACAGCTGTAGGTAATCAACTGAATGCTGTGAAGGGTAGTCTAAGTCTTTTTATTTGAAGGACTTCGGATAAATGTGCAACTTAATATGACCCAAGAGTATCAAAAGAGTTTGAGCCCTGCAAATTCAAATATTTTCGGCGGCCCATAGTGAAAATTTAATTATATTAAGAGTACGACAAACAATAATTTTGATAGGTTCTACTGACGTCCTTTTTTAATTTAAAAAAAAAATAAAAATAAATAGATTTAACGTGGTCAATTTGAATTTATTGGAGGTATAAATATAATGGGAAAAACTAAAAATTCATTCTATTCTCAATAGTAACTAAAATTAATGCATTAATATATAAGAATTAAAAGGCAATAGTTATAACGGAGCATTCGTTTAGGTCGATCAAATTTTTGCAGCCATAAAATACTGGTGACAGAGGAGATAAATACAGTTTCAACCCTAAAATGTCATCTTGATTCGGGATAGATTTATTTAGGTAGAAAGAAGGTGAGTTGAAAATTCCCTCGAACTTTAAATCTAATTTATTATTATTATTGTCACGATTGCTTATATTTTGACTATTTTGGCGATGCTTAAAAATTTGGTCATAAATATTTTTAACTATACGATCGGATAAATAATCTAAATGATTTCTGCGCTTTATAACAAAAGAAAAAATGGCAAAGCCACAAGAATTAAAAATACGTCTCTCCAATAAATTTTCACGTGGTATATAGTCATCATTTATACTATCTAATTTCAAATCACTCATACTTACAAGTTTATTGCGACTCTTCTGAGATATATTATAGTAATAGTGGGAAGCTATTTTATTATAACTCAAGTTCCAAAAGGCATGCAAATCTAAATTTATAAATTTTAGGGGCTTAATAATAACAGATATATTGGGTAAGATGTCATCAGTTATAAAATTTATTCTGGTCTTGGATAAATCTAACTTAAAATCGACTTTGTATCGATTGTTGCCCATAATATTACAAAGATTATAGCAATTTGTTATTTCAAGGTTTTCAACATTTTTTAATTTACAGTCATTCATGGCAAACATTTTAAGCATAAATTGTGTAGGTGAAACGCGACTTTTTATTTTTAAATATATTTGCTTGATTTTGTAGTTAGTATTTTGGGGGTCCGGGGTTGATTGATAAATTATGCATGTGCTCAAAAGATTTGCGTCATATTTGTCAAGAGTTTTATAAATTGATTCAGTTTCTAAAATATTTAGTAAGATAAAATAATAATATTAAATAATAACATACTTTCGGTAAATGATGGGTGACGAATTTCAGAGCGTAATGTAACGAATTTGAAGTTATTAATTGATCCATCTTGACTTTCCTCACAACTTTTTTGACAGAGCTTAGCATTTTCTGACAAATAATCGTGCTCTAAGCATGTTTCAATAAATGTCCCAAACCATTCCTTACATATATCATCCTTATAGGATTTTTCAATTTCCGAGTCTTTACAAATTTCGAAGCCCAACTTCAGGTTTTCCATACCAAATTTTTTAAGATTATCGCCACCATATAAAATATTTATATTTAAAGAAATTAAAACACAGTTATGTGAGTCTTTCAAGTTAGGAAGGCTAAAATTTGTCACATACAAGGGTATTTTCACATATTCCTTAATATTGTCATTTTCATCATTTTTATTGTCAATTGCATGCGAAGGCTTCTTGTTAATTAATTCAATCATAACCCCCTGGGACGTTAAAAGAATGTCATATTGCGAATGATCAGTTGATATTAACAATGGTAAGGTAGTTTGGCAATGCAAATTTAACAAATACCCTAATGGGCATTCGATTTTTATCGGTTCAGTATTTGTCTCAAAATTTTTAAGGAGAAACTTGTCACAAAACATAGTTAATAGCGGTAATTGAAAAAAGGGTATGTTCTCTGGGTATAGATAAGATTTTAAGCTTTCCCAAAATAGTTTTTCGCAATTCCTGCGCTCAGCTAAATAAAAACAATATATATATATATAAGAATCAATACAACTATTATTAAATTTGTAAAAATCTATTGATTTCTAAAAAACAATTATCCTATTAATAAATATTTTTTGTTTCAGTTACATTATAACTACACATGAAGATAAAGGAATTTTCTTAAATTAAACTTTAAACATATTAAACCGTAATCGAATTTTTGATAGGTCCAGGCTATAGCAAACAAAGCGATAGACATCTTATGCTTTCTCGCCAAATCTACAGCTATATGAGTATTGAAACCACCTCCACCTATCATCCCTCTTCCAAAAACATCTATTCCTACGAATATATCTTTTAATAAATGGATATTATTCATATTTGATAAAGCGTGATCGGATTCAGTGTTTTTAACAAAATTTATGGCTGAAATTTTATTGGATTCATTAGTTATGGTAAGTAAATTCCGGTTTTTATTGATTAGTGAGCCATTGTATTTGCGATATTGAGAAAGAGTTTTTTCCAAAGTGCATTCAGTCCAAGTGTAATTCAAAAAGATGCCATCGCTTGCCAAAAAAAAGGGCCTTTTGATAAATAAAAATGATGTAAGTGAGAATAAAGTATCATGTTTCTTTAAATTTAATATTTATGTATTGTGTATATCAGAGACCTGAAGGCTCGGCTCTAAACCCAGGTACACGGGCCGGGCATTTTAATTTTTAATATACCCAAGCTGGGCCTAAAAAAAATTTTTTTTTTAAACCTGGGCCGGTCCTAAAATTTTTTAAAAAATACCTGGGCCGGGCTGAATAATTTAAGACAGAATATTTTAAATCGACATTATTAGCTACAAAAATTAAAAATAAATGTAATATAATTTTAAAAAATCTGGGGCGGGATGAAAAATTTTTTTAAATAAAAATCTGGACCTGGCCGTGCAAATGATACATCTGCAGGTCTCTGAAATCCGTAAAAATTTATTCATTTATGTGGTCAAAAATTAATCCTATATTAACCTACCAAATAAAATACAAAGTGTTTGCTAAGGTTTAGAGCTCATAAAAAGATCTAAAAACGTTTACATGTTTTTTTCATTCAATTCGTTTTGCCATACAAGTTTGCCTCTAGTCGTCACACTGTCGTACCAAATGATCTTTTAATGTTTTATTGAAAATAAATTATCAGGTTTTTCTGGCGCCGTTTTGGAAAAAGTTCAAAGAAAAAATATTCGAAATTGTGCTTAGATGAAGAAGCAAATAACTATGATGATTTTATTATTTAAATAAAAATTTTAAAACTTTGGAATGAGGCAAAGCAGCGTGAATACCATTTTTGAGATAACGGATGAAATACAACAAAGTTTGTATTTGCGATACTTCAATCTCATTTTCAATGTTCAATAGCCACCCATCGAAATTGTAATAAATTGCGAGGGAAATCATTTTATCAGCTACTGATTTCGCCAAGTCGGTAGAAGACAAAAAAAATTGGCAAGTTGCTTGACCATCAGAACTTTCAGTGATGAACGTCCCTTTAAACAAGTAGATTTTAATGAATAACATGATGATTTATGAATAAATTTAAAAACTTATTAATTTTTGAATACCCAAAAAAATACTTTTTTTAGTTCAAGCCCTGCTTCCTAGTATTTAATTATATCCTAATTTCACATTTCATTTCGCCCTTTTCTTTTGCTTGAAATTTAATTTTAATGAATAGAATACTGAATTTATTAATCATGATATTAATATGTGGATGCCAGACCTGATTTAAATAAAGATTTATATTAATCAATAGGCTCGCTCTAAATTAAATATGACGATGAATATTAATAATTATATATGTCAGATTGTAAGCCCGGACATCGTGATTTTAAAAATCGAGGCCAAGCTTAAAAATCAAAACAAATAAATGGGATGGGCTTTGTTAATAGATTCAAATTTGTTATTTTTTTATTCTTATTTTTGGTTTAACTTATTTAGGTATTTTTATTTTGATGTAACCTTCGTGTTATATTATATTTAACTTAGCCATTCAAATTTTATAGCATATATATAGATCGAAAGAAAATTATATTTTGAACTTTTTTAGATTTATAAAATAAATATGTCTTAAGTTTTACAGGCTATAAATAAAAATTCAAATACTAGGGTGAGCAAAATTTTAAAAAATCATTTTATAATACCAAAATTAACAGTTTACATTTTTCACTTAAGAGAGGAAAGACAGGGGTGGAATAGAAAGGATTTTGTTAAAGGCCCATAAAAATTAGAGGCATTGACCAAAATGATCAAATAATGTCTCAGCTAGGTTACACTCCCCTAAACTTGGCCTCCTAACTTTTTCCAAAAATGGCCTCCAAAAATAATTCCGGCCCTCCAAATTTAAAAAGAAATATATTCACTATTAACCATTATATTTAAATAAAAAAAGAAAATTCTTAGAAAAATATGGCTTCTAAAACAAACCTCTAATTTTAATTTAATATGGATAGATAAAAATCGTAATATAAAGAAAGATATAGATTATCGATAATTTAAGTGAAGCATTAAGTAATTTATTTAAAATCGATTTTTGATTTGATACAATTTCTGTCGGTCTGGGTTTACTACATTAACTGATGCCGAGGATATAAATATAATTTATTTCTCAGGACTTTTTATTGCAATTCTTTTATACACCTGCCAAAAAGATGAAAAATTAAAAAGTTGAAATCAATATCAAAAAATGACCAATATACATCACCTCAAATTCGAAATGAAATTATATCTATTATGGCAGATAGTGTTGGAATCATCTATCTCAATAAATTATAACAAAAGTAAGATGCCGTTTTTTCATCTTAAGGCTGCTGCTAAGATAACGGATGTAATTATTTTGTATATTTTTAAAAATCCAAGGGAATTTAATAGGAGTAATTGATTTTGAAAGTCTTTCTGCTAAAAACATATAAATTGCATTTTAAAATAATTTAATGATAATTTATCTAATATAATAAGCCAGGCGTATGATGGCACAAATGTTATGTCTTGTCGAAATGGAGGAATACAAACTTTTCCCCAAAATGAAATTCATAGAAAGGTGTTTGATATACATTCATTGTTTCAATCACAAGTCTTGTTAATAAATGGTGTAATAATATATCTGTAATTTATAATTTTAATTTAGCAAATGAATTTTATAATTTCTTCAAGCATTTTAATGTATCCTGTAAATATACAGGCCACATTCTTAAGAGACTTTTAGGCAAGAGGTGGACTGGTCTTTGGAAACATCTAGTATAATTTATTAAAATTTTGAGGATATTGGTGAAGTATGATTTACTTTTCTAATGGAACTCTTAACTCAGTAGTTTCCACTCATGATTGATCCATTAAATAATCAATCTTCGGTTAAGTCAGTATACTAATATAGTAGATGCCAAATTGTGCTGACTCCACAATTGATAAATTTAAAAAATAGAGGTAAAAAATTCAACTTGATAAATATGGAGGATGAAAATCTCATATCAAAATTAAATCTGTTCCCTAAAAACCTTTAAGTGTTCATAAAACATCAAAAAAATGACTCCATATTAAAATGAAATTATTATGAAATAAGATTATTTTGATGAAAGTTTTTTAGAAAGATTTACTGATGATGATTATCGCCGTATCTTAAAAAATCATATTTTCATTATTGATTCATAATTAAGAAGAATATTTAAAATGGAGGTTGTTAATTATTTCACTAATTTTTTTTTATAAGAAACTATTTTTTGTTCAAATTTTGTCTTCCAGTCAACCAAATCCCAATATACAATCATGGGCCAATGATTTTTTATCTCTACCCAACTTTCCCACCATATCTCGCATACCACGGGGTGCTCATAATTCTTTTGCAGACTCCTTCAACAAGTTAATCCTATTAAGAGTAAACAATCCGGGAAACCTATCCAATTGGAAAAACTTACTAAGTTTTTCCAATTGCACCCTTAAAATCCCGATAATAAAAATATTTTATTATCCAAACATATAAAATCATAAATATCCCTATTCAACACGGATTCCATACAAACCCCTATACCCCGAACCCATCAATCCAATCCACTCCCCATTGCCCGTAGGGCTAAAATAGTTTCAAACAAAATAAACAGCCTTAATATAAACACAGCCCTCCGGGCTATGACCTCTGAAGACTCCTTAGCTCCTAACAATGAGTCCACCTTAGAAGCTTTGTTTCTAAAGCCCCATATGTGATTCAGAATTTGCCTTCCCAAGCCAAATCGATCATATAGCTTCTGAAATCAGCACCGATGAGACAATCAAAGCTGTTAGATCTTTCAAAGACTCTTTTGGAGGTCTTAATGGCATTCTTGCTATCTTCATACAAGACATTTTAAAACCCAACATTTCGTGTAGTCTACAGAACCCAGGTTACTAAATGTAATTCTTAATGGACCCCTTCCATCACCTATCATTCCTCTTCTCTTTGGTGCCCGCCTTATAGCCCTCAAAAAAAGGATGGAGGTATTCGCCCAATTGCTGTCGGGTGGTTCTTCCGAAGGACTGTCTCTAAAATCATTGCTTCACGAATAGGCCTAAAACGAATTATTTGTTATTTGATATTCGATTCGAACATAATTATTCGATTCGAAATGAGGAAAATTATTCGTATTATTCGAAATTATTTATATATAAATATTAGTAATTATTCGCAAATATTTTATTGCAAGTAAAATAAAAAGAAGTAATTAAATTTTCCTAGTGGATATCATTTCGTTTTATTTTATTTCCTATTATCAAATATCAAATCACAAGTTATATTTGCTGAAAAAGTTTAATGGAAAGTAAAATATAATTATTTTATTTTGATTGTTTCTCTTTAATCATTTTTGATGTTATGAACAATTCAAAACATTTTTATAGAGTGTGCCTCTTTCCCATATTCTCGAGCTCCTGGCAGATAAATAACTAAATTTTTTTGACTAGTTCTTATTATTTGATTAGGAAAATCCTTTTCCCATTTAATAACCTTATTTTTGGCAAATTTTAAAGACAATCTAATTCAGATAGTGTATAATATCTTCATCCTCTATTACATTGTCATAATCACCTCTAAAAATTATATTAATAATTAAATAAAGGAAATTTATTTTTAATAAATAAAATCTATAATGAAATACTTTCTAAAATTTTGTTATATTTTATATGCAAAAATGACAATTAGTTTAGAGAATTCTTAAAAGTGTCATCTTTAAACATCTGTAAAAATTTTTTTGCAAAATATTTTATAAGCTTTAGAAAAATTTTCGAATCGAATATTCGACGAATCGAAACGAATAATGATTTTATTATTCGTACGAATACGAATAGCGCAATTATTCGATTCGATTCGTTTTTTTGTAGGCCTATTCACGAATAAAGGAATCCCTTTCTTCATTCTTGTCGCCACTTCAACTTGGGTTTGGTGTTCCTGGAGGCTCTGAAATTTCCACTAATTTTGCTTGTTTAACTATAGCTAACTGTCTTGATTTCAACAATGCATTTAATACAATAAAACGCCAACACTTCGTTCCTCTATTTTGCAACTATATCCCAAATACTCTACTTACATCCTCCACAGCTATTCGAGCCATACTTTTTTAAAATTCAATAATAACATAATCGTATCTCAAGAGGGAATTCAGCAAGGTGACCCCTTAGGCCCAGCCCTCTTTTGCAACGGGATCCACAAGATAATCCAGGAAATTCAATCTAACCTTACCTTAAATTCCTGGTATCTTGATGATGGCATTGTCTCGGGCAACCTCTCCTCAATCATGTCCATCCCCCTCATCATTGAGAATCTCTCTCATATAACAGGACTATCTCTCAACCTCCCCAAAAGTGAGATTTGCTTCCTAAATCCCACTTCTATCCCTTTAGACATGGCATATCACGTTATCAACAGAGACGAGATGACACACCTCAGATCACCCATAGGAGGTGAAAAAGCCATCGAGACATTTACAAATCCCTTAACAATTTATCCAAATTAAATACATTATTTAATTACCTCCCAGCCCATCAATCTTTTTTTTAATAAAAAATTATTTCAATATACCTAAAATCCTTTACGCCCTGAGATCCTCTTTGATCTTTAAATGCCATGACTTGCTCGTTTCTCATGAAACCTTAAATTTTCCAATTCATCTGGCCTCAGGCCACCCTTCCCAGCTAGTCTGGTGGTGTTGGTATCCGATCCCCGATACAACTTTCCCCCTCAGCCTTTATCTCATCTCGTCTTGCTGCAAAATCTATCATCGATAATGGATCCACTCCTTCAGATACTGACCTCTTGCAGGCCTTCACCTTTTGGGACAGCAACTGCTCACCCACCCTCTGTCGTCCGGCTTCCAGCATTCAGAAAGACTGGGATGCTCCTCTGATCGCCCGTTCCGTTGAATACCTTATTTTGAAAATGCCCTTTGAGGACAATCGCAATGATTTAGTATTATATGCAAGCTCAGGTTACGAATGGCTGGAAGCCATCCCCAGTTCCAATCTTGGCCTCTTCTTGACTGGCGAACAGCTACGCATTTCCATAGCCCACTGCCTTGGCTGTAATGCCATGGTTCCCTCAATTTGCATTAATTGTGGCCATCCCATCGAATCGAAAGCTTATTATCCCTTGCACTGCAAGTTCTCCCATGGACGACAACCGCATCATAAATCTATTAACAACATCCTCCTAACTGCTCTTAAAAAAATTAATATTGCATCCATCCTCGAACCAGTGGGCTCAAACGAAAACGCCATATACCCCGATGGTATATTCCCTGGACCAATGGTCTCCCACTAGCTTGGGACTATACCTGTGGATTTTGCCGCCAAGTCCAACCTCTCATTTTCTGCCATCGAAAAGGCCGAAATCCTAAAAAAACAAATATGCTTGCCTCACCAATACCGTGTTTAACCCAATCGTTACCAATACCCTAAGCATGCTCGGAAGTGATGCTCTCAATTTCATCAAAACTATAGGAAAAAAAATGAGGCAGATCTCAGGGGACCTCAATGAAAGATTGAAAATCTGCCAGTCCAATTTTTTAAGCATTGACTCTTCTCTAGGGTGATTTATACCCTTTTTTTAAATTCTATTTTTTTTTATCTCATTTCTCTTTTATACATATAAATTTTATAATTCATTTTTAATATATTATTTGTTTTTTTATGAAAAATTTGTGAAAATTTGTTTTTTTAAATAAAGTACTACTCCCAATTTTACAAAATCATAGTTAAAAATTATAATTTATAATTATATAATTAAAAATAAAATTCTATAATTGAGTCCCCAAAAAGGAACCATAATTGTGTCTAAAAATTTCAATTTGAATTTTTTAGTGAATATATTGGGGTCAGAAATCTAATATTTAAATCAGAGATCTGCAGAGGTATTATTTGCATGGCCTAGTTTAGATTTTTTTTTAAAAAAAAATATTTTCAACCTGGCATATTCTAGGTTTAAATCATCTGCCCAGCACAGTCTGGATTTTTTTAAAAAAATTTCAGCCAAGGCCCGATCTTTTAAAATCATATTCCATTTATTTTTAATTTTTATTATTAATAAGGACAATTTAAAATACTTGATTTAAAATATATAGCCTGACCATTTTTTAAAAAAATTTAGGCCCAGCCCAGGTATATTTTAAAAAAATTAAAATATGACCCTGCCTGGCCTGTATAGATAAATGTAAATTTACATTTTGTAATAAAAAAAGGCATTTGTATTGTATTTGTCTGAAAATTTTGAAATGTATTTATTACTTTATATTTTTTAGTATTTAAAATACTTTCTAAAATAATCAATAAATAGTAAATACAAGTATAAAAATGTATTGAATTTAGTATTATAAATAGAAGTATTAGTGTTACTGCCCAACCCTACCTATATCCTTTAAATCTAACAAAATCTGTTAAATTTTGCATTGATTAATCTAAGGCTAAACCATAAAACAATTTTTTTAAAAATTAAACTAAAACCATATATAGGAACTCCATTGATATGAGCTGAATGAATCCAACCTGTTGGGGGAATTGTGATAAAATGATGGCTAAAATATATAAATCCATCAATATAAGGCCAATAATTGAATCTATAACCTTGGTAACTTGTGTATATACCTTGACAATAGCTGTTATAAAAAATTATGAATTTTATAAAATATAATTTGTCAAATAGGTCATTCCTAATTTTCTTATATTAAATTATCTTACTTGTTTATTGAAAAATAAATGCCTTAAATTATGTCACTGCATTCAAAATTAGGGATTATTTAAATTAATATTCTATATGTAAATAAGTATAACCTATCTTCAAGATAGCCACCAGCCATATCATGGCATATGATAGTTTTAGGATATTTAAGTATTTTTTTTATTATCAATTTCTGATGAGAAACTTGATAGGTATCGATAGGTCCCCAATTCAACAATTCATTTATATTTTCTATAGGTTTACAAATAAGTTGATTATTTGAGAACATCTAGTTTCGTTTTAAATAAAGGTTCTGTCAAATTTGAAGTATTGATTGGTTAAGTGGCATTGACATATAATTTTATATGTTATTTTATTTATATTTTCTACTTAAATTTTTGAAGGCAGAAGATTTTCTAATTTGAAAAATTATAACATGAAAACGCCTTATTGATCTTAAAGAAATACTTTGGGTTAACCAAGGAAATAATATGTTTATTGTATTTATATCTAAATAAATTTTCAAAAATTATTACTCTTTGGATTCGAAGTCCAACGGGACTAGGTAGTCATAAAATTTGGTGCCGTGTAGCTAAGGGCTAAAATAGCTGGAGTAGACCATGGTAAACTGGAGAGGTGACTAAAAATAAAAATGTACAGTCAATTTAGAGTTTTCCTTTATTTTAGAAGTCCAAAAAATATATCCTGTTACTATACAATAATAATCTTGAAGCCATGTAATTAATTGTTGATGTATCACGTTTACAATAAAAATAAATAATAATATAAGAAAAATTCTTAATTTTACCATAAAATAACGTATTACCGGACAAATTTTATTATGGTTTCTTCCTTCTTACATTTTTGTAATATACATTAACTTAATAGTTTTGTTTTATTAACACTAACTTAAAATGATTAACATTGTAAAGTGATTGTTTTTTTAGGATATATAAAGGACGATGAATTGGAGAATGGAAAGAAAAATGTAATTTATATTTTAAAACTCACGCATTTATATACTAAATATAAAATCTAATTAATATATATGTCGTAATTTTTAAAGGGATCAGAACTATCCGAGATCATCACGGATTTTAAAGAGATAACTAAGAAATTTGGGTTTTAAGTTAAGGAAGGATAATACGCAGGGATGTGAACCCGGACCCGGACCTTGAACCCTCCTGGACCCTCGTATTTTGGCTGAACCCGGACCCGGACCCTTTTAAAAAGTGGAGGGTCCAAGGGTTCAGGGTGTTAAAAATTTTTGACTTAAAATTTATTTTTTTTAAATTAATGTAAAAATATAATTTTTAAAAAATAATATAAAATTTTTATAATTTTATTAATTTTTAAAAAAATAATATAAAATTTTTATAATTTTATTAATTTTTAAAAAAATAATATAAAATTTTTATAATTTTATTAATTTTTTTCGTGGAATCTCCATAAAAAATAGTCACTTTAAAACTATAATTGATAAAGCAAGGGATGTTGTAAAATATTTAAGAACTCCCACAATTGTTAGAAAATTAAAATCCATGAAAAGGTAAATGGCAATTTTAGATTGAACAACACGTTGGTCCTCTATGTGTATGATGCTAGAGCGATTATTAAGTTTGAAAGATTTCTGTAATGATTTTATCATAGGAGCATGTGAAATCATTTTGTCAGAAGATGATTGGAATCAAGTAAAAAGCTTACTAGTGTGCTGGTTCCTTTAAAAATAACAACATTAAGAGTGCAAGCTGAACAATTATGTTTATCGGATTTTTATGGCATATGGTTAAGAAGTCGATTAGAGTTAGGGAGATTAACAAGTTCTTTTTCAAATGAAGTATTAGAAAATACGAAAATAAGAGAGCAACAATATTTACAAAATAGTGTTGTATATGCTTCGATATATTTAGACCCGCGATATCAGGTTTTATTAAGTAGTGAGCTAAAACAAATGGCTATAGACCATCTTAAAGATTTATGTCATACCCAAAACTCTATTATTTACAATACATTGGTGGTTGCAACAATATCTACTGGTTGTAGCGATAACAATGATAATGATAACGATATTGATGATCTGGAAATTTTACTATTAGATAGAGAAAAAAAAATTAAATTATCATCTGATAGAAAGGAGTAAAAAATATCTATTGTATCTTTAATAGAAAAGTTCTCGGAAGTTATGAGAATAAATAGAGATGCAAACATTTTAAAATTCTGGGAGGAAAATTCTTCAATATATCCAGAATTATATACCTTTTCTAGAATCGTCATGGCTGTACCGGCGACACAAGTACAATAATTTATGTATTATAAAAATGACTATCTATTTTAGGTGAGCGTAGAACGTGGATTTTCATCGTTGACTAATTTACGTGGAAATCTGAAGAATGATATTTTAGAAGATATCATGATTGTGCGATTGAATAAAATATTTAAAATATAAATTATCTCATTTCGAATTATAAATGTGTATATATTGAGAAATAATAATAAAAAATGAATGAAAAAAAGTCTTATTTTGAGTCATTATTTTTATGTTTCCTCTGAACCCGGACCCGAACCCTGGACCCGGGTCCTTTTTAAATTTATTACCGAACCCGGACCCTTTTTTTTTGTCGAAGGGTTCACATTCCTGATAATACGGTATTATCACGTTTTAATCGTGATAAAGAGGAATCTTATTTTAAAAGACTTTTTAATTTTATTGTTATTTATTAATTTTCAATGTTGTATTTTTTGGCCTCATAAAATAAGATATGTCTAATATAGGGTATCAATCGATAGCTAATCAATAGATATATTCGGCCAATCTTTACCACATAGGCGAGTGTAGGTCTGGGGGGTAAGGAATATTTTTATCAAAATATATCGATATGACATCAAATAATATTGTGATGGGTATGACTTGGACTGGGCGGGGGGGGGGGGGATAGAGCGAGGGGGGGGGGGTGTAAATAATAATTTATTTGATATGGGTATCAAATAAAAGGTAATTAAAATAATTTTATCGTAATAATAATAATCACTCATAGAGGGTGGGTGTCTTGGGGGGTCAGGAATATTTTTATCAACACAAAATATCGATATGGGTATCAAATAATAGCTAATTATAATATCATTTGACTGAAAGTCTTCATTCTTGGTCTTGATGGGTATGACATGATCTGGGGGGAGGGGTAGGTGGAGGGGGGTGGTAAAAATAATTTTTTTTGATATGGGTATCAAATAAAAGGTAATTTAAATATTTTTTTATTGTAATAATATTAATCTCTCATATCTGGCGGGTTTAGGTCTTTGGGGTCAGAAATATTTTTATCAATACAAAATATCGATGTGGGCATCAAATTAAAGCTAGTTTAAATATCTCTTGATTGTAGTAATTAAAGTAGGCGGGAGGTCTTAGGTGGTGAGATGATTTGCTTATAAAGAAGTGTAATAATTTATAACTGCAACAAGAAAAATTTATAATGTCATTTTAAAATTTGTGAATCGATGGCTTCAAATGTATGAGATATCTGGAACCCATGAAGTTGAATATTTTCGTATTGTCATATTCTTTTAATCGATATTATTTGTTTTTTTTTATCAATATTATAATTTTGTCAATATTATTTCTTTTAATCGATATTATTTGTTTTTTTTTATCAATATTATAATTTTGTCAATATTATTTCTTTTAATCAATATTAATTGTTTTTTATCAATATTTTTTTTTATTATTATTTATGTGGGTTATAAAAACCCTGAAAAAGAAGAATTTAAATATTATTATATTTTTTTTATTCTATTTTCTTTGTGGAAATAAAGTAAATACCAAATTGATACATTAATAAATTGATACATTATATCAATATCTAAGAAATTTCGAAACATATAAGATATAGTAAAATAAGAAATTGGTACCGTGTTAAACACTAGAACCTGGAGGTTAATCGCGGAGAGATTTACATATATTTTTAAGCGAAAAAAAGCTCTAATAAGTTAAAACGGTAAGGCGTTGATAAATTTTCAGATATTGTCAAAGCGAAAAAAGCGCTAATAAGTTAAAATGGTAAGGCGTTGATAAATTTTCAGATATTGTCAAAGCGAAAAAAGCGCAACACAATAAGTTAAACGGTAAAGCGTTGATAAATTTTCAGATATTGTCAAAGCGAAAAAAGCGCTAATAAGTTAAAACGGTAAGCCGTTGATAAATTTTCAGATATTGTCAAAGCGAAAAAAGCGTAACACAATAAGTTAAACGGTAAAGCGTTGATAAATTTTCAGATATTGTCAAAACGAAAAAAGCGCTAACACAATAAGTAAAACGGTAAGGCGTTGATAAATTTTCAGATATTGTCAAAACGAAAAAAGCGCTAACACAATAAGTTAAGCGGTAAAGCGTTGATAAATTTTCAGATATTGTCAAAGCGAAAAAAGCGCTAACACAATAAGTTATACAGTAAGGCGTTGATAAATTTTCAGATATTGTCTAAGCGAAAAAAGCGCTAATACAATTAAAATTTAAGCGAATAACCGCTGTAAAATTTACAAAAATTAGTAAGGCGGAAAAAGCGTTAAAACAAATAAAATTGAAGCTAGTAACGGCTGTCAAATTTACAAGAATTAGTAAAGCGAAAAAAGCGCTAGTACAAATAAAATTGAAGCAAATAAAACGCTGCAGATTTGTAAAGATTTTTAAAACTAGTAAAGCGCTGTTACAAAGGAAATTGAAACGAATAAAACGCGGGAGATTCGCAAATATTTTTAAAGCGAGTAAAACGCTATACAAAAATTATACCAGTAGTGTGAAATTATTAGTTAAATTGTTGAAATTTAAAACGAATTTTACATTAATTTTCGTGAATTAATTATTTGAAACAGAGTAAACACAGAATAGTGTTTGTAGTTTAAAAAATATCATACAAAGAATAGTAGTGACATATAAGTTTTGGCCAGTATATTTATGTATATGTGCTTTATAGGAATATTCACAGTCCTAATCATATCTTATTTCTTAACTCTCCAAGTGATAAAAATTTTTATTATAAAAGTTATAGTTAATTTCTTGTGAATTGATTATGAAAAGTTTGAAATTCATAAAATACTGGGAGATCCAGTATAATATTCTTGGAGCACTTGTCATTTTAATAATATGGATATGTAGTTTAATTTTTGGAAGAAGAATTAGAAGTAGTAGGAATGTAAGGATTAAAGGCCAAACATTGACCATCGACGGACATAATGGAGAAGAAGATGTGATGGGTAAGGTAACCCTGTACAGGAATTGATCAAAGGATGGACTGATAGTAGCCTAGGAGAGTTGAATATAAATGATAGGATTGATAACACGCAAAAAAGAGACCGTTATAGAGGGTCGAGATATAACAATCAATTGGGGCCATATAGATGGTCAAGAGAGAATTCGCAGGGAAGACGAATGGAAATAAAGCCGGGTTTTAATCCACGGGGAAGAGAACATCTAAATTGTTATAATTGTGGAAAGCAGGGCCATATGGTAAGAGATTGCCAAGAAACGAAATGTTTCGAATGTGGAAAATTTGGACATGTAGCGCCTTATTGCCAGGGTAAACGTGATAAATTACGTTGTGCGGGGTGGACGATTTGGGGGAAGAATGCATTGTTGCCAATTTCAATACAAGGGGAGGTTTTCCACAGAGAGATATGGCTCAAATTGCTCCAAATGTAAGAATTCTTGAAAGCGGGAAAAAG